GCTTGGCACACGTGGCTAAATTCTCGATGAAAAGGTGACATCACGTGTGCTCAAAGATGTTCTTGAATCGATGCCACGTTAATGCCACGTCAATTTCTGCAATTGCACAATTTCTGGTCATTTGAAGGGGATACGAACAGTTGTGCTGCCTACAGAGATCCGATATTTCACAGGGGGAATAAATCCCGGGATGCGTGAACTATTCGCCTTCAATTTTACACCCACCCCAAAGCTTCCCTCCCATGCCAAAAGTTCGATTACTTTAGCCGACACAACTGACCCACGTCATGCCCCCCTTATTGGATGAGACTCCTTTACTTTTTCTTCTGTATTTCGATCACATTACATTACGCTCAGTTTATTATGAAATGAAACACTGAATTTTTGGGGTTTATTCCATTTAAGAAGGGGGGATTATTATCATTCGGCGACTAGTTGACTCGAACATTCCAGCTTTTCACGCATGTCAAGTGACTGCCCTTACCCCCACCCCCGTAGACTGGCTACACTCTCCCTGGTTCGGAGTTACCCTAGCTTTCTGGAAAAACTGCATCATGATGCCCCGCCTCCCCTTACTGGAACAGACCCGCATTACTAGTCAATTACATTATCATTTCTTTCCACGCAAAACCTTTCTGTCAGTATCTAACATCGTTTCGTTTGTTGGGGCACGCCCTGCTCCGCCCACATTCCATTCACACATTCATGATTTCTACCAGCCGCCATCCCATTATCATATTCGATGTGTGTTTGCAAGTGGAAACCTTTTTGCTAGCAATCAATTTCGGCGTCACTTTTCGTGGCTACATCGCTATCTCTTTGTTTTCTTTTGCAGCGATTTCGATCTTTACATTCGGCTGCGGAAAATGTGACCGGGCGCCATGTTTTCCTTTTTCTCTGTATAAGTATTGGCGGACGAATTACCCAACAACCATTTTTCGAATGTATTCCTTCCTCCTTCAATTTCATTTCCGAAACTGGGGTCTCATCCAGTAAGGGGGGGGGGCATAGCGATCTAGAGCATTTCAAACCATGGAAAGCACATTATTTTATTGTAGACGTTCAGGACTAAGCCCTAGAAGGGAAGGAGCCCCGGGTCCGTGAGCAATCTTGGTTTTCCCCGGGGGACTTCCTCCCCCTCCTAGGCTTAGTCCTGACCTGCTGACTAGGTGAATATTACTTTTCGTAGACGTTAATGTCATCTTGTACAAGAATTCACACATTACAGGGCGCACGCATAGTCGGTCGGACGACAGCAACGATCGTAACTGTCGCACAGCATTGGATGCGTATCGATCGTCGGACTTGCCTGAGTATTCGACGATTAGATGCAGTTAGACAGTCAGACAGTTGCGATCGTTGCTGTCGGACGACCGACTATGCGTGCGCCCACACAAAACACCTGAAGAAATAACATAGGAAAAAAGCTGATAGCAGCTCGTAACTTTAAAGGACTCCTTGAGCCAAATTGGCATTAGAGCAGACCGTGCACCGCAATGCCCCCTCTTACCGGATGGGACCCCAAAACTGCTTACTTTCAGTCACATTCTTTTTCGCTGTAATTTCATTGTATTTTTTGTTATTACTTTATCTTTTCCCACGTTTCTACTTCAGGTGTTTAATTCCGATGTAAACAAATTCCGATCTAAAATCGCGTTGTTTACCACTCGGTAGAGATGATTTCACGATCGTCTCAATTCTATGCTGTACTCGGTATTGCTTTATTTTTTGGAACATTTGGATTTAATGGATTATTCGTCTTTCTTATTTGCATATTGTGCTTTGTTTGCGGGTAAGTGGCATTGAATTAAGTGATAAGTGAACATTTAGCCATAATATTGTGGAACTGATAAATTTTGTTCGAATTCTTACTACTTTTCAGGTTTTGCTATGTTATTTATACTCGTGGAGAAGAAAAGTCGAAAGAGCTTGCCTCCGACTTCATAAATCTCAAAGATTTTAAGTTCCCACCGGGAATTGAGATGTTTCTCAAGAATAAGAATCGTTTCAATGACAAGTCTATTTATGAACAAATTCACTCTATGACAAATTGTCAGTCAATGGATGCTGTCCTTGAACAGGTTTGGAACTAATCGTTCATTTTCTTCGTTTTTTCAACTCACTTCCTATAAAAGTTGTGAATCAAAAACTCTGAACTCCCTATTTCCCTCTGCTGAATCAGTTTCTGAAGAAATCTGTTCCATTGGGGGATTGAGGGTGTTTTACTCTCATTTCCATTACCTAGGCTAGCAGTCTAGTGGAGGTATTTAAAATGTTTCCAAAGTAATTGTATTAATGCATGGGCCTTCGGGATGGGAATAGCGCCTAATGGAAGGATGTTTAAAAAGTGTAAGGTTGTGAAGGCATATGCTGAGTATGAAATAAGGGCGGTAAATAGATCCGAAAACTTAATTCCTGCTTTGGATCGAGTATTACATGCGCGATGATTTATTTTCCTGACTTCTCAAACCAAGAGCCCGATTTTGGGATAGATACGTCATGCCCGGTTCTTCCAAACGGTTTTTTGATTCATTTAGGGGTACGTGCATGGATATTTCTCGCTTTTCTTGAGCAGTCCTCTTATCGTCCATAGTAAGGGCTGCAGATTGGTTCGTTGTTCGATTCTCCAAGGTGTCAAATTTTTGCATTTTCGATTAGCGCTGACATGGTGTCGCAAAATGGTACCCGCGGCTAGTGAGGAGGCCGTATTGTAATATCAGGACCATCGGTAGCCCGTGCTTGTAGTTTGTCTTCAAAAGCTGGGGCCGTATTTTGAATCTCGGGGAGCGGATATGGTACAACGCGCAACCTTTATTTGTAGCTTCGTTTCTATTCTTTCATTGCTGTTTTTTGGATGAAGAAAGGTATTGACGGGCGAATATACAATCAGGAACAGTAAAAGAATGGAAACAAAGCTGCAAAATCAAAGATGCGACCGTTGCAAAGTGGGTCCTGCGACGAACCTCCACGCAACGCTTTCCGCCGACCCTGTCCCCTCCCACAGTTCAGTCAATACGGCCCCGTGTATCAAAAAGGTGTGGTTAAATTTTTTTTGAAAATTTTTTTTTTTTAAAACTCCCGTGCTCTTTTTTAGCATTCAGAGATTAATTAATTACCATAGTTTTGTTCCACGCGTGTGCTCCCTCATTGTGCAGAGAGCCGTCTTTAAAAAGCCGGGCACGGCCCGAAACACTCTATTGGTTAAAATCAGTTTTGTTGGGCTATAGTCATTGTAGTGAAATTGAAGATGGTAAACAAAGAATATATCAACGAACAGGTTTTTCTTTATTTGATGTGGCAAGTTTTGTCTGTTTGGTGGCTAAACCGTAATGATAAGGTGTTAAGATGTTGTCCTTCGTGATGCGTGACTATGTCGATTCGTGGTACAAGAAATTGACAGACGATGAGCTATTCAAGGAGAGTCTAAGGAGGACAGCACGGCGTTCAATCGCATCTCTTTCGCAGTGGTATTATCTTTTACCACATCCGAACCACTTGTAACTTATGTTCGCTAATCAGGTTTGTAACTAGCGTTTAGTATGCGCCAAGTGGATTGGGTCCCATTTGTTACTCGCCATGTTGCTGACGACTTCGCCTCCCATTTGAGGTTATATCGGATGGCCAGCGAACGATTCAAGTACATGGGAAAGAAAGGTGGCTTTTTCAGAGTTTGCGTATTGGGAGCGTCATTCGTATTCAAATTTCTCACATTCTTTAAGAATTCCAAATGCGTTCAAATGATCCATTCTAGACGGACTACCATCTTCTGAGAATGATCTCTTAAGCCACTTTTTCGATTTTGAGCTGGAGATGGAGAAGACGATATGTCGAGATCTTCTGTGCACAACACCGCATTATGAGAATGGTGCGTCAGAGCTGCTAAAAACCAAGAAAAAAAAGCACTCATCCGGCCATTTTCATAAATTCGGACAAAAATCCGTTTGAGACGTGTAGAACTTCCGGCGAGCAGTTGCTTATTTTTCATTTGATCATCTTCTTGTGTACTGCTCTATGCTTTGAGTTGATGTATGAACTACGCTATTTCTTTCAGCGTATCTTCATGATGTTGTTGACATTGTGCTATACCTCATCATGCCACCGGAGGACTTCCGCTGCAGGCCACTTAGGTTTTTGCTTCGAGAGGTTATTGGTATGTTTTAGTAGGTTTTTGCACCGATCCTACCTAGTTCAGCTTTTTTTCCATGAGATTTTAGTAGTTTAATTAACTAGTTCATCGAGTCACAGTGTACCACATTTTCTTAATAAGCTGTAAATGGTGAACGAATACTGATACTGTCATGTTTTAGTGCGAAGAATTATTATTCCACTCCTGGACCACTTTTCTGAAGCTGATGAGATGAATCAAATTCTGATCAGGCTTGTAGGTTTTTACTTTATTTTCCGCTTCTCACAAAATCTTTTATACAAAATCTTTTGTATTGATCTAGCTGAGTGAAATCTCTCCTCGACCTGATGATTTCGTCGCTTGTCTCGAAAACAGTGTTTCTGTTGATGAACTAGAGGCAGTGTACAAGTCGGTGCAGGATGAGAAATTGGTCTTGCGCGGAAAGGACTCTGGTGGTGAACAAGGTAGAGTTTTGAATACTCCTGGATCTTCTTGAATTTTATTCTGGGTGTCAGACTTCATGAATTGTGGCATAACAGGGCTTACGTTTACAATTATTTAGCACCAGTTTTGGCTCCCGCACCAGCTATCGCGCCGCATTCACCCGGCAGCCCTTTAGTGAATACTGGCCCTGGTATCAGCATGAGGTACTCCATTAGCCACCTCACTATTGAATGTGTTAGACCTTTCCCAGTTTCGCTGAAGTCCATCGAGAATACGCGTGATAACGTCTGGAGCTGAACTGGCATAATTATCTCACAACTGTAAACATCCAGCATTCTTCTTGAATTCAGATAATTTAGCGGTGAATAGGATTGCTGTCAGTCTCAAAATGAAAATGAACTATGCCTATTTACAAGTGAAGAGCTAAGGCTTATCATTTATTTACATTCACCATTATTTAGAACCCCGAAAGGATTAGCGGTTTAATGAGTTTGGGCTTTCTTGATAGAAATGAAAGTTATCATTTGCTGAAGACTTGATTGAGTTTATGCAATAGACTGCTATTAAGTAAGCTGGTCATACAATGATACAGTGTGCACGTACCACTACAAATAGAATTTGTAAGTAGGGACGCTCTAGTGTCAGCGCAAGCTGGGTAACGGAATCGACGACTTTTGCGTTCTGACGCCCCTTATCAGCCCTTATCAGTTGTAACCACTTTCTATCACCCATCAACAATGTCCCCGTCCCACCCCACATAACACTTGTAAGTAGGGACGCTCTAGTGTCAGCGCAAGCTGGGTAACGGAATCGACGACTTTTGCGTTCTGACGCCCCTTATCAGCCCTTATCAGTTGTAACCACTTTCTATCACCCATCAACAATGTCCCCGTCCCACCCCTTATAACACTTGTAAGTAGGGACGCTCTAGTGTCAGCGCAAGCTGGGTAACGGAATCGACGACTTTTGCGTTCTGACGCCCCTTATCAGCCCTTATCAGTTGTAACCACTTTCTATCACCCATCAACAATGTCCCGCCCCTTATAACACTTGTAAGTAGGGACGCTCTAGTGTCAGCGCAAGCTGGGTAACGGAATCGACGACTTTTGCGTTCTGACGCCCCTTATCAGCCCTTATCAGTTGTAACCACTTTCTATCACCCATCAACAATGTCCCCGTCCCACCCCTTATAACACTTGTAAGTAGGGACGCTCTAGTGTCAACGCAAGCTGGGTAACGGAATCGACGACTTTTGCGTTCTGACGCCCCTTATCAGCCCTTATCAGTTGCTATCGCTTCCATTCATGTACCACCATTGTCCCGGGACCACCCTACATAACACTTGTAAGTATAGACGCTCTAGTACCAATATGAACGACAAAACGAAATTGGCGATGCTCGCTTTCTAGCCCCTCTTATCAGCTATTATCAGTCGTTATCAGTTCCTATCACATGATCCCCATCAACCCTATACTTTTATAGAACAAGGCGCTATGTTGCTGTGACACCGAATATCGAATTTTCGCGTCGACAAAACACCACACACACAGACTACCACACCCGGAGGGAGCGACAATACTAGCAAATTTATATAGTAGGATTAAGATTTCGTCGGCTATAGTGCATCTTACATCTCCTGCATCACATAGTTTCTCACTAAATCACAATTTCAAAAATTTTCAGTTTTCATGTCTGATTTGTGTGGACTATTATGCTTTCTTTTCCTCCATTTTCGTTTTTGCAGGCGTGTTTGTCAAGCAGCAACTTAGCAGTCTTGATTTCGTTGACGGTCTCATAAGAAAAAGGCTAGTTCTCCTAACCAATAACACCGTGGACAGTGGCGGTTTAGACGTGGTGAGAGTTTATCTGTAATTTTACAGAAACTTGTACTAGTAATGCTACCTAGGTGAGCTTTTTTGATTGACTTCATTTTCTTCATTGCTTTGCCATTTTTGCGGTGTTTCTTAGGTGCACTTTTCCATTATTTGCCTCACGTCATCACACTTTTTGAACATAGTTACTTTATGTTTCATACCGCTTTCTATTGTTTTCATTGGACCATTAGTTTGCTGGGGTTTCCTTTTCTGGTGTAAAACTTGAAAATATGTGTCCTGCACCTTTACTACTTCATTTAAGGCTCGTGTGATCTCAAATGACGACGGGTTAGTGCAGTTGCCTCTTCACGTCGTACTGACCAATGGAGTTGCTGTTTCCTACTTCATTGACTACCTTCAGACTGTCGGTGGACAGAACTATATAGACTTCTACTTGGCAATTGAAGTGCGTTATACATATTAGTTGTGGTTGTGAAGTTTTTCGTTACGAGCATGGAAATGTGAAAAAGAGGAGGTTCCTTCGTGAATGTTTATGTGTATTTTTAGGGTTTCAAAGTGTCTGTGGAACACCAGCTGAGAACGCTTTCGAATGGTGAAACTGTTGGAGACGATGTCCACGAAACAATCAAAGAGGCGGCACAGTTCATGTATCAGCAGTATCTTTCTCAGGAGGTGTGCATTTCTTAGCGTGACCACTTTTTTTCTTTCAATTTATGCTGTAATTGTTACTTATTCAAGGCAATTACTCGGGTTCCACTGGATGAAAGCATAATTTCGAAATTTCTAACGCGAATAGAAAGCGATGAGCCCTGTGATTACTGGTTCGAGCAGATCCAAGAAAAGGTTGGTGGTCTTACTTTTCAGTTGTGGTGAATTTTTCTTATTCGATTCACTATTTTTCTGCGTAGTTTTACTGTTCAAAGTCTTTTGTTTTCATCTTACATTATTTCTACTGTTAACTCAGTATATTTAGCGCCGCTTGCAGTGTGAAAGTTCAGAGAAGAGAGACAAGACTGATTGTGCTGTGAAAGGAAAGCAGTAAGTAATAGCATTAAATATCAGAGCAAAAAAGAACCGCAAGATTCCAGAAAAGCAACAATTATAAAAAAAAACAACGACAAAATCAGCAATCATTTTACCTGGCAATCGGCCCTATTCCCAAGGTTTCCACAACAGCCGTTGTTACCGGCTTCCCATCATTGATCATACCTTCCTCAATTATCTAAAAACAAAAATTAGGCGAGAGTTTATAGAATCCTAAATTCATTTCAAAAAATTCATAAGTTATTGGATG